TGTGAGCGTGGACATGCCACAGACGAGAAAAAAAGGCATATACTAGACGGAGAGACACAACGACAATGAAATCCACTCAAGAGTTCGTCAACAACAAATGCAAGACTTACAAAATCAGATGTTCAGTCGGTTTAATGCCCTCCAAGAGGCAATTACGCAAATGCAAGATCAACCACTTTCCCCAACAGCAGAATTTTGAGGAACTCAACCTTGCGGGGAGCAAACCCGAGAGGAACCACTAGTTCTAAGTGGTCGGAGAGTGATTCCGACAGTCGACGAGCAGGAAAATTCCCAGCTTGAGTATGTTGGGTCTGCACTAGTAAAGAGGAACCATAACTAGTTGACGCAAGATGAGGCACCTCTTGAGCAAAAAAAATCATTTTTTTGGTAGATTCAAGAAGATGAACCACCAACAAAATTTTGGCCTCCACATTTGGACTCTTATAATATCCGACCAATTACGTTGCTTCATTTGAATCAACGATCGGAATGTTGCAGATAAATGATGCCATAAAGTGTTGATTGTTTTTAACCACCCTGAAGGAGATGACTCTTCGGTGGTTCAATAACATGCCGCCATAGACTATATCCTCTGAGTTCAAGAAAGTGTGCGTGGCTCACTTCGCTAGCATCCAAAAACCAAAGAAAAAAGTTTCAGGCCTTGTTATTGCTCAAGCCGGGTGAGATCGAAAGCCTTTGTTCTTACATCACTCGTTTTCAGAAGGAAATGTTGGAAGTCCAATACTTATGCCTAGTCATCCCCCCAACTGCCTTGCCACAGGGAGTGAGAGCAACTCACTTCAAATTCGATTTTGATTTGTGTGAACCCAAAACGTTGGTTGAATTGATTGAGATCCCCAACAATTATATTGCCGTCGAGGAGTATGTCAATGGTCCCTCTAAACAGAGAAAACAAAGAGAACTAATAGACAATCAAAGAAAATGGCTGCTTAGAGCGAAAGGTGCAAGGTGAGCAACCAATAGCCTTCCGCTTGTGCAAAATATGAGGACGACCGGAATCGTAGAGGAGAGCAGAGAGGGACTAACGATTGGAGGGGCCAAGCTCGGTACTATGAGTGACCGCACATGCACCAGGAGATGAAAGGAATGATACCACTCAGGTTCTCGATGGCTAAATTGGTGGAACCTATCCATAATAAGAAGTATTTTATGAAGCCAGTACCGACAAGAACCAGAGCTTCCCTCCGGAACCCCAACAAGTATTGTCAGTATCATCAGAACCACGACCACGATACCGAAGAATGTCGACTTCTAAGAAATCTAGAGGAGGACTTGATCTACGCTAAGGAATTCATTGTAGTTGGAGCAAACAATGAAGAAGAATTGGGCGAGCCAGTACGAGCAACTCATTACACGTTCTGGGCTTATTCCAACTATCTTTGGTGGGAGGAAATTAACTTGCTGGGCCAATCAAAAAAGGCTCCAATCAGGAGAGGTGCTCACTGTCGTCTCTATCAAAAAATAAAATCATCTGCCTATCTTTACTGATGGGGATTTGTTGCCGAAATAAAATCAACATAATGATGTCATTCTTGTCACGACGC